ATGAATCCCTGTGGCTTCTATGGACTCAGGAGAAGGAAACCAGACAACAGAAAATGTAGCCAGTTGGAGATGGGGTGGGAGCCAACTTTCCCCTGCCCTCACCACCCTAGAAGTAGGAAATAAAAAGAAGAGCAAGAGTCTGGGTGCTGTGAATTGGGGGCCCAGGCTGGGCCTACTCAGTCACTGAGGAAAGGGGAGGAGGGAGGGAAGTTCATACACAGGAAACCGCAAGCAGCCAGAGCAGAGAAGAAAGTTTGGAGTAGTCTGGGGGACTGGACTCAAGAAGATCCTTGGAGTCCAAGAAGACCTAACTGCAGCAGGATGACAGTGATAGGTGTGATTCAGTCAACCATACCATCTTTAATTCTTACAACAACCCTGGAGGCAGGGGTTGTCATACCCATCTTCCAGATGAGGAAACAGGAATCAGAGAGCTTGCTCAGGGTCACATAACCTCTAAGTGACCAAATCATGATTTGAACCTATATCTGCCAGACTCCCAAAACTCAACCACGAAAGGAGAAAGAAGCAGAGAGAGACTCAGCCCCCAGCAGGAAGGTGACAGCAGATAGTCTCTGAGGGCGGGGCTGTGGCTTCTCTGATCTCAGGCCCCTCTCCTCTGCCTAGGCCCCGCCTCTGCCCCTCCCAGCGCTGCCTGGAAGTGTGGGGGTTAGAGCTCCTCCTAGGACACCCCTTTCCCTTGGGAAAAGAATTGCGGACCCCCCCCAGGCTCTACCCAGGAGAGGACCCTCTCCTCCTTCCTCATCAACGCCCCTCCTGGGGCAGGAAGTGCCTCTACCTGCATCCCCACCTGCCTGGCCCCAGGGACCACTGGCCCCACAGCAGTCAAACTGAGATGACGGTCAAGCTGGACTTCGAAGAGTGTCTTAAGGACTCGCCCCGCTTCCGGTAAGTGTTCGCAGGTCTAGGGGACAGAGGAAGGGTAGTCCAACTTACCTCAAGATACACACACACACACATACACTTCCCCAGGCCAGATGTCCTAACAGGGAATAGGTCTCAAAGGGACAGGATCAAGCTTGTGGGCCAAAGTAGTACCTCTGCTATCAAATCCAGAGGGGACCTCCAGCCTCTCACCCCCAGAGCTGGCATTCCATCCTCCCTCTTACTGGGACCCCTGCCCCTCCCCCAGCACCTGCTGTGGGCGGTTAGCAACTTCCTGCCCTCGCCACATCCACCCTCCTTCTACCCTTCCTGCTCTGGCCTGGGCTGTAGTATGTATCACACTGTGGAATTAGTGAGCAAGACAGGATAGGTAGGTGGGCCTTCTTAACTCACCAGCTTTTTCTGTCTGTACCCTTTACTCCCTACCCCAACCCCGAACATGACCCTGCCAAGGCAAACAAACCAAATGGACCCAAGCTCTGTTCCCTTGACGCCATTTCTCCTTTCCCAGAGCCTCTATAGAGCTGGTGGAAGCCGAAGTATCTGAATTGGAGACCCGACTGGAAAAGGTGACCCGGGATCAGATTAAGATGAGAGAGGTGGAGCCAGGGAGAAAGTTGGATATGGAGAATGAATCTTAGAAATTATTGAATGCTAATCATGTGGGGTAGATATTTGGGGGCTACATAGAAACACAGAGGTGGTTCTGTTCCCTCAAGGAGGTCAGGATCTTGGAAAAAAAGACTCACTTGTGGACTTACCCAGTCAGCTCTTGAGCCCTGCCTTTGCTAGACCCTGGGCAGTTGGGGAGAGCAAGACTATTTCTGTCCCCATGGAGTCCATAGACTGACAATGGAGGACAAACTAGTAAACACTAAATACAAGACAGTTAGGCCTTCTCTGACCACTCTTTATAAAACAGCACATGCATGTACACGTACACACAAATACACTCCCATCCTCGTTATTTTTCTCTACAGCATTTATCTCAATATGTTTACTTGCTGTATTATATTTTTATTGCCGTGTAACCAATTATTACAAATTTAATGACTTAATAATTTGTTATCATAGTTTCTGTGGGTCATGAGTCAGGGACAGCTTAGCTGGTCCTCTGTTCAGAGTCTTGCAGGCTGTAGTCAAGGTGTTGGTTGGGGCTGCAGTCTCATATGAAGCTCAGGGTTTTCTTCCAAGTTCACATGATTGTTGGCAGGACTTGCTATTGCAGGACTGAGGCCCTTCTCTCCTCAAGGCCATCAAATCTCCTGCCATTTGGCCCTGTGTGCTTCATAGCAGCTTTCTTCTTTAAGGCCAGCAGGAGAGTCTTCCTTGTTTATGCTGGCAAGATGGCATCAGTTTATATCAGAATATAATCACAGGAGCAAATCCATCACCTTTGCCATGTGGCATAACCTAATCACTGAAGTGCCATCCCATCACCTTTGCCCTACTGTACTGGTTAGAAGCAAGTCACAGGCCTCACTCACATTCAAGGGGTGGGGATTGTGCAAAAGTGGAAATCATTGGGATTCACCTTAGTATGTGTCTGTCACATTTGCTGATTTTTTTCTTGTCTGTTTTTCCTCATGAAAATGTGTCATGAGGGACTTTTATGTCGTTTTTGCTCAATCCCCAGTGACTATATCATGGCCTAAAAGTGGATGATCAATTAATATATTTTTTAAATTAAACTTTTTATTTTGAGTTAATTATAGACTCATAAGAAGTTGCAAAAATAATACAGATATGTTCCGCATACCCACTACCCAGCTGTTCCCAATGGCGGCATCTTATATAACTACGGTACACCACCAAAACTAGGAAATTGATATTGGCATGATGCAATGAACTGTCTACAGATCTTATATGGGTTTTACCTGTTTTGAATATACTCTATTAAAAAAAAAAATCTTTGTGTATAATCCAGTGGCACTTTATCTATGTATAGATTCTTATAACTAGCATCATTCTCAAGATAACAAAAGTCCTATCACCACAAAGGAACTCTTTCGTACTACCCTTTGTAATGATACCCTCCCTGCTCCCTTCTCTAATCCATGATAATCACTCATCTGTTCACCATCTCTAGACTTTTATCATTTCTAGAATGTTATGTAAGTGGAATCAATACATTATGTGACCTTTCAAGACTGGCCTTTTTTTTTACCCCACTCAGAATAATGTCCTTGAAGTTTATTCAACTCTTATGTATCAATAGCATCAACAGTTTATTATCAATAGTTCATTTATGAATAATTTATTCCTTTGCATTGCCGAATACCATTCTTTTATACAGATGTACCAGTTTGTCACTACTTCAATCTTATGAAAGTTATGATATATGGAGGAGGAGTGAATAAGGGAAAAACTGGACACTCAGTCCCTCAGCTCCATATAGTGGCGTTGTGAGCATCTGGTTCCTTGTCCCATGTCATAGATATGGGGAAAAGTTTGATTGTGGCTAGTTTCCTGACCATTACTGACCCTGCTAGATATCTCAAGTCAAGTTACATTTCCCTGAAGCCTTCATTAGTCCTAAAAAGTGTTTTTCAGTTCAACAAAAGTTTACTGAGCTAAGCTGACAGGCTTCACAGACAATTGTTCTATTCCAGATGTGGTGACTTAGGCCAGACCCAAGCGGTATTACTTTAGGGGCAGTGCAGTTCTTACAAATAACAAGAGCCAGGGATCAGGAGACCTCACTTTGGCTTCTGGCTCAGCCACCTGGCTCTTCCAAGGAGACACTCCTCAAGCTAGTCACTTGTCTCCTTGTTTATCAAGCCTCCTTATTTGCTATTTAGGACCAGGTGGAATGGGCCTTAGGAGTAACCTAGCATGCCATCTTCCCCCTGACCCTGTGGCCTAGTGATTGCTTAATATTTATGAGGGAATGTTCAATAGGCATAGAATGAGATAAGTCCAGACAGTAAGTACTGTAGAATTTAACACCAACTAGGTAGAGCACACCTCCTGTGAGCCAATGGTGCATGAGGGTGGAGTTTCTAGGGAACTGGATTCAAGCAGTTGGGGCAGGGCAGGGAGAAATGTGTGGGAGCGGATAGAGAAAGATGTTTTGGAGACAAAGCTAACACTGGCTTTGGTGACAGGATGGGAGGAGTTTTGTTTCAGGCACAGAGCAGTGAGAGTAAAGTAACTCAGATGAGAAGGTACCAAGTCTGTGTTAGAAACTGCGAGAGCTAGACTGGGCTGCAGAGAAGTGTAGGCAAGGTTGGAAAGGAGGGGCATAGCCCTGGGGAAGGGAAGAGAAAGTGGGACAGGAGTGGGTGTGTCACCGACTATGGTGGCACATGGCATGACTCCCTATTGCTTCTTAGCTCCTCAAGCTGGGTAATGGCCTCCTGGAAAGTGGACGTCATTACCTTGCTGCTGGCCGTGCCTTCATTGTTGGCATTTGTGATCTGGCCCGCCTGGGTCCACCAGAGCCCATGATGGTGGTATGTAGAGGGCCCAGACCAGGGTGGGATGGGGTCTGAGATGAGCAGAGATCCTGTGGAAGCAGGGGGAGGGTTGGTCTGGAGTCTGCAGGTCCCAGGCCAGAGATAGGCTGGGGCTACCATCCAATTCAGCCATAGCGCTGGGTCTAGAGGTGGGGAGGGCTCTACTACCCCATGCCTGGTACTCTCTCTCTGCCTCTTCTTGCTTAGGAATGTCTAGACAAATTCACTGAGAGCCTGAGCCACAAGCTGGATAGCCATTCGGTGAGTGGGGATAAGTAGGGCTGGTGGGGGGAGCAAGGTTGTCTGTTGTCCTGACCCCCACCTGCCAATTTCTGCTTCCCCTCAGGAGCTTCTAGATGCCACCCAGCATACGCTGCAGCAGCAAATCCAAACCTTGGTCAAGGAGTGAGTTGAGTGGGAAACCAGTCCTCCAGCCCTCTTCCCAATACCACAGGGGCCTCCCTGAATGAAGCTGCAAGACTAGCGGCTTCTGGTGGCCTAATTGCTATCCCCCATCTCAAGGACCCCTTTGGAGTTCTGACTGTACAGAGGCTGAGAGGCTATGAGTGGGCCTACTTTTGGGAGTTCGCTACTGGGGGCATATGGGTATAGCTGGGATTCTTTGTTATCCCCCTACACACAGAGGTCTCCGGGGTTTCCGAGAGGCTCGCCGGGATTTCTGGCGGGGGGCTGAGAGCCTGGAGGCTGCTCTTACCCACAACGCAGAAGTCCCTAGGCGCCGGATCCAGGAAGCAGAAGAGGCAGGAGCTGCTTTGAAGACTGCTCGAGCTGGGTACCGGGGACGGGCACTGGATTATGCCCTGCAGGTGCCTGCCCCAACCTGTCTGCCTAGAGTACCAAGGGCTCAGTCACCGTGAGGCTGGAGAGTCCCTGGTGTGCAGTGGGAGGGGGCACTATGTTTTCAAGACTGACCTGAGGTATTTTTGGGCCCTCAGATCAATGTGATTGAGGACAAGAGGAAGTTTGACATCATGGAGTTTGTGAGTTGTAGTAGTGGCAAGGGCAAGGTGGGGAGGATCCTGCTGATGGAGAGCAGGACAGAAGAGGGAAAAGTCCTTCCTCAGCTCTTCCATCTGCCCACCTTGGATGCCCCAGGTGCTGCGTTTGGTGGAGGCCCAGGCTACCCATTTCCAGCAGGGCCACGAAGAGCTGAGCCGGCTGGCCCAGTATCGCAAGGAGCTGGGCGCCCAGGTAGGGCCCTATAGCGCAGGCAGGTGGTAGAGGGTATTGGGCTCTGAGATAACTTTTCTGGCCTAGTTGGGGGAGGTGGGGGCCATCTAAGATGCCTCTCCTGTGCCCAGTTGCACCAGCTGGTTTTGAATTCAGCTCGAGAGAAGAGAGACATGGAGCAGAGACATGTGCTGCTGAAACAAAAGGTAAGGGCTGGGCTGTGGATGAGAATAAGGTGGGCCTGGGGCCTTGCTCTTACCCACAAAGTTGCCCTTGGACCCTTCTGTGCCCTTAGGAGCTGGGTGGGGAGGAACCAGAGCCAAGCCTAAAGGCGGGGTCTGGTGGCCTGGTCATGGAAGGACATCTCTTCAAACGGGCCAGCAATGCATTTAAGACCTGGAGCAGGTGAGGAGAGGACACCTCAATTAGCCAAACTCATTCAATTAAATATTTTTGAGTGGTTATAGTATGTTAAGCACAGCAAGGGAAAACAGACAAAAGCCCCTGCCTTCAGAGAGTTTACATTTCATTAGCAAGGACTGACAATAATGTAAAAATTAAGTAAATATTATGTTAGTATACTTATATTAGAAAGTAAGAGTGCCAGAGGAAAAAATAGTAAAGAAAGGGATGTGGATAACTGAGAAGGGGTTGCAGTTTTAAATGGAGTGGTCTGAGTAGGCCTCATGACTTCTGAGTGGAGACTTAAAAGGACATCTGAGGGAAGAATGTTCTGAGCAGAAAGGGCCCAGCACCAAGGCCCTGAGAAACCTGAGTGTTCAGAGAAATAGAAAGGAGGCTGTGAGTATGAACAGAGGGAGGGAGAAGGAAGTAGTACGAGATGAAGTTGGAGCTAATGGGGGGGTTGTAAATTATGATACCACCTTGTTAGCTTCTGTAGGGACTTGGGCTCAATGCTCAGGGAAATGAAAAGCCATTGCAGGGTGCAGAGCAGAGTGGTGATCTGCTCTGACTCACTCCTTCCCCTTCTAGGTCCACTGCCAGCCCATATGGGATCTTTGTGCAAATTAGAAATTAGAGCCCATTTCCAAGATACTGCCATCTGTTAAAAAATTGTAGCAATAGACTTACTTTATTAGAAAAGGCATTTTATTGTCATCTGCTGGAAAGTTGTCTTCACAAATATATCAAATCTGTCTACAGCCATGCCACCCTGAACGCGCCCGATCCTATCTGATCTCGGAAGCTAAGCAGGGTCAGGCCTGGTTAGTACTCAGATGGGAGACCACCTGGGAATACCAGGTGCTGTAGGCTTAAAAAAAAGAAAACTAAATAAATAAATACATCAAATCTAAGTTGTCCAAGATGTGAATAGCACCCATTAGATGTCCCCATCTGCACAACTGTCTGTCCTCCCTCCTTTGGAACATCTCATGGGACAGACAGCCCAGGTCTTTCTCCTCTCAGCAAGATCCTTATGGAGCAAAGGGCACAGCCTCTCTGCTGTTCCTGTTCCGAGCCTCATCCCAATGCTGCCTGTGTCCATAACTCTATTTCTATCTCCTCTAGACGGTGGTTCACTATTCAGAGCAACCAACTGGTTTATCAGAAGAAGTACAAGGTGGGTAGCCTGGGTCCTGAAGGCCTGGGCCTAGGGAGACTCGGCCCTTGCTGTAGCTGGCTGGATGTTTGCCCGTATATCACCTTCCCCTGCCAGGACCCTGTGACTGTGGTAGTAGATGACCTTCGTCTCTGCACAGTGAAGCTCTGTCCTGACTCAGAAAGGAGGTTCTGCTTTGAGGTGGTATCCCCAAGCAAGTAAGTGTAATCCCTAGGGATGATGCTCTAATATCTACATCTTTACCAACTGGAAAGGTAGAGCCAATCACAACGGCATCACTGACTGGAGCAGGGACTTGGAAGCCTCCCATGCAGCCCTAGGCATTAACCCTTTGGTGGCTGTACTGTAGGGCAGTCTGCGGGGTGGGCATAGGGTGATGGGAAATATTTAGAAGGATATTACCAACTCTTGCAAAAGTATTTCAGTATGACTGATACCAGTTAATACTAGCTGAATGTCAGCCTGCTCATTCTGCCACATGTTCCCTAGGCCTTAGACCCCTCCCTGCTCTCCATCTCATCTCCTGCCCAGGTCCTGCCTCCTACAGGCTGACTCAGAACGCCTCCTGCAGCTGTGGATCAGCGCTGTACAAAGCAGCATTGCCACAGCCTTCAGCCAGGCTCACCTTGATGACAGCCCCCGGGGTCCAGGCCAGGTACCTTAATATGGGAGTGTAGGCCCAGGCTGCCCAGGGAGATTGGGCATCCCTTCCCCTAGGCCCTGTGGCTACTCCTTCTTTCCCCTGTTTCCCCCAGGGCTCAGGACACCTGGGCATGGGCTCCGCTGCCACCCTGGGTTCCGGCGGGACGACCAAGGGAAGGGAGCCTGGTGGAGTGGGGCATGTGGCAGCTCAGGTGCAGAGTGTGGATGGCAATGCCCAGTGTTGCGACTGCCGAGAACCAGCCCCTGAGTGGGCCAGCATCAACCTTGGTGTCACCCTCTGCATTCAGTGCTCCGGCATCCACAGGTTACTCCCCAAGGCCCCAGGCATTGGCCCCATTCCTTCTGGCTGCAGTGTTGGAGGAACCAAGATAAGAGCCCATTACACAGGCTCTTCTCTTTCTACCCTGCCCTGGCTTCCTCTTATGTTCTGGCGGTCACCGGGCACAGGCCTGGACCAAGCCTGAGGGGCATAAGTTAAACCCAGGCAGGCTCAGCTCCTTGGTGTCCTGGTCTAGCCAGAGTTGGGGGACACTCAGAGGAGTTTATTGGTTTGATTGGAGGAGGTGTGGGGTTAGGGATGCTGAGGGTCGGGGAGACAATGAAGAACAGAGAGAAAAAAGGTGAGGCCTTAGCAAGTCGATATGGTCCTCACCCTGAGTCAGTCTATTAGAAGAAGGGAAGGAGAATGGCTGGAAAGAGTTGTCCAGGCCAAAGTGCCAAGAGAGAAGGAGGTGGCTGGAGAGGTTGAAGCCCTTAAAATAAAATGTAGGAGAAGAAAGGAGAAGAGGGATGGTGAACAGGCAGGATTCTGCCAGATGCAGGTCAGGGCCACATGGCCCCAGCTGCCTTGCTGCCTCTTGGCCCAGCACTTCTACATGGGCCCCCATGCAGGATTTTGTCTCCAAGTCTTTTCGGGAGCAGCAGCAGCTCCCCGCAGCTGCTGCCTCACATAAGGCCTGACTTTCATTCTATTCCTCCAGGAGCCTTGGAGTTCATTTCTCTAAAGTCCGGTCTCTGACACTTGACTCATGGGAGCCGGAACTAGTGAAGGTGACTCGTGGGTATCGTGAAGAGTATGGGGGTGTGGAGTGGGGTGAGGACAGGGTTGCAGAGCCCTGAGGGCTCAGATGCTCACCCCCACCTATCTCTGCTTCTGCCTTGGCTGCCTGTAGCTTATGTGTGAGCTGGGAAATGTAGTCATCAACCAAATCTATGAGGCCCGTGTGGAGGCCATGGCTGTGAAGAAGCCAGGCCCCAGCTGCTCCCGGTGAGGCAGGGGTGGGGAGAGGCTGGGGCTGCCCTCTTCACAGGGAGGGAGGAAATTCTAGAATGGGAGGAGGGAAGACTGTTGTCTTCTTCCCCTACCACCCCTCCAGGCAGGAGAAGGAGGCCTGGATTCATGCCAAATACGTAGAGAAGAAGTTCCTGACCAAGCTTCCTGAGATTCGAGGGCGAAGAGGTGGCCGGGGCCCCCCAAGGGGGCAGCCTCCTGTGCCCCCAAAGCCTTCCATTAAGCCCCAGCCGGGGAACTTCAGATCCAAGCCAGGTATAGGGTTGGTTGGGCATTTGCTGAGCACCTGCTGTATGCTCAGCACTGTGCAAAACCTGGTGGGGAGGTTCAGAGTATAAGACCCAGGCTTTCCCTTTGAGAATGTTGGAGGGGCCAGACAACACCAGCACTGGTTTTAGAAGGCAAGAGTTCTGGGGGTTACAGTGAAGAATGGGAAGGCGCATAGGGCTGGGAATAGGCAAGGAGGACTATGTAAGGGTGTCAACAGCATGAGAAAAGTAAGGACTGAGAATGAGCTAGGGTCTCCAAAGGCCTGTGAAGGAGGGTGTAAGTTTGGCTGGAGTAGATGGAGGGAGCCAAGAGAGCTGAGACAGACCTTCAGTGAGTCAGCTCACCCACAACATCCCAGCCAGTCAGGGTGGTTGGACAGGAAGAGGTTAATGATGTTTTCTAGCCTCTATATCCTAGGGGCACCCACACACACACTCACATTTACCTCTACTTCCTACTACAGTCCCCAGAATCTTGAAAGCCTCCCCATGATCAGGAAGTGACCTGTCCTATTACAGCATCAGGGGACTTTACTGAGGGTTTTCTTCCCAGACTCAAAGCTGATTCTCTCTAACAGAGCCACCCTCTGATAACCTGGGCAGCCTGCATCCTGGGGCTCTGCTGTTTCGAGCGGCTGGGCATCCTCCATCCCTCCCCACCATGGCTGATGCCCTCGCCCATGGAGCCGATGTCAACTGGGTCAACGTGGGTCAGGAGAATGCCACACCACTGATTCAGGCCACAGCTGCTGTGAGGGTCTTGCCAACCTCCCCACCCCACCTTAAGGCTCCTTTCCTTCTCTACTCCAGACTTTCTTGCCCCTACCCCTACCCCATAGGGAATGATAACCAATAGAGACTGGTTGCTAAGAGTGTGTGCTTTAGAGGCAAATGACCTGGATCTGAATCCAGGCTCTCACCACTTACAGTTAGGAATCGCTCTGTGCCTTAGTTTCCTCAGATGTAAAAAGGGATCCTATACCTCATTAGGTTGTACTATGGATATAACGTATGAATACATGTAAAAAGCTAGAGCAGAGCCTGACACCTAGCTGTACCCCTACACTCCTGATCCCATACCCTGCCCCCTGAACTGACCCTACTCTAAAATATCTTTAAATCAGCCTCTAAGGATGCCACATTCTCTCCCCATTCTCCACTTCTCAATGCAGAATTCTCTTCTGGCCTGTGAATTTCTCCTTCAGAATGGGGCTAACGTGAACCAGGCAGACAGTCACGGCCGGGGTCCGCTCCACCACGCAACCATTCTTGGGCATACTGGGTAGGAGAGGCAGCGATGATGGCCTTGGGGAGAAAGGCTCCAGATGGGGTGAGCTGTTGGCTGAACCTGGCTATCCTCTCTAGGCTGGCCTGCCTGTTCCTGAAAAGGGGAGCTGACCTGGGAGCTCAGGACTCTGAAGGCAGGGACCCTCTGACTATCGCCATGGAAACAGCCAATGCTGACATCGTCACCCTGTGAGGATGCCCAAGGGGGCAGAGCTAGTACCTGCACCATCCACATGGGTGGGGCTAATGGGGAGACCTGAAGGTGCCAGGCCTGGGGACTGGCGAGGTCAGCTTCTGGACCGGGGGAGAGACAGGTTGCTCCAAGTGTTGATTGGGGTATGGAGTAGGAAGGAGGCAGGCAGTTTCGGAGGGTGAAGAGCTCATTCTGGAAGGCATCATTCATCAACATTGTTGTCAGGCATCTTTTAAGCACTAGACCCTGGGGAAACAAATAAATAAACAACCTGCTCAAAGGATAGGAAGTTGGAGTGAGGAAGAGTTAAGGAGATTGTCATTCATTCCTTAATTCTCTCCTCTTTAGGCTACGGTTGGCAAAGATGAGAGAGGCTGAAGCAGCCCAGGGCCAGACAGGTAAAGTACCCACCGCACCCCACTAGGCCCAACATTGTAACTCTGGGCTTCTGGCTCCCTGGTGACCTGTCCCCCTCATGTCCATCTTCATCAATTAATTCTATTATTTATTCAACAAATATGAATTAAGCACATTCCATGCACCAGGGCGTCAAAACAAAGCAAAGGTGAGGGCGGTGCCCTGATGGTGCAGGTGTTTCCTCTACGCATGCTCTTACCAGGCTGGCTGGACCAGCTGGCCCCAGCATATTCTCCCATGCTAGGGCCCAGTTGTGGACTCCCAGCCCTTCCTCCCTCCCCTCAGGAGATGAGACGTATCTGGACATCTTCCGTGACTTCTCTCTCATGGCTTCAGACGACCCGGAGAAGCTGAGCCGGCGTAGTCATGATCTCCACACGCTTTGATTTCAGGCCTTCGTGAGCCTGCGAGCGACCCCTGCCCTTCCTCTCCCACTGCTGACTCCGTTGCCATTAAAGCCCATGTACTTTGCTCTTCCCTTCATAGTTCATTTATCGGGTACCACCTCCGGGCCAGCAAGGTGTTGGGCTCTGCGGCTCTTGAGGTGCAGAGTGTATGGGAGTTTGGGAGACCCGAGTCACGCAAGGGGTGACTCCCGGAGAATGAAGTAGAAGTTGCAGCCTCAGCCCTAGCACCCAGAGGCCATGGGGTGGGGCTCTCCGGCTCAGGCGACGCGGCCAGACCCGTTCAGCCCGGGAGAAGCCGCTTGCATGGGCTGAAGCCGGCCTTCTCTCAGGGGGAGCTGGCGTCGGGCCAGGATAGAGAGGCTGGTTCGGCCACCCCGGCCTGGAGGCATCCAGGGAATGCCGCAGCTCAGCATCCGCCCCCTCGGGAATTTCTGACAGGAGCGACAAGAAAGAAACTGATAGTCCCCAAGCCCTGGCCCACGCCACGTTTTCTCAAAGTGGCGGGATTGGGGACTCCTGCCTCCGCCGAGCTGCAGACGTGAGGTCGTGCACACCTGGGGCCGACGGGGCTGTGGCGGCTACATCCGGAGCGAGGCGCCTGAGTCACCCTCCAGACCCCACCCCTGCTGCGTCCGCCCGTCTAGCCCGTCCACCCCGTGTCTCTGGTTCACCACCTCCACCCGAGCAGCGCGAGCCCCGCGGGGGTGGAGGGCGGGGCGCCGAGGGGGCGGGGCTGTCCCTTAAAGGGCCCCAGCGGCTGCCCTGAGGCCACTTCCTGGGGGCGTAGAGGACTTCAGCGGCTGCCGCGGTACCCCGGAAAGGCGGCGACGCACAGGTTCCAAGACCCCCGGCCTGTTCCATCAGAGTCCTCAGACACTCGCAGCCTGGACTGAGCGTGCATCCTCGCTCCTCAGCCGCTACAGGGGCAATTCCGCCATCAGCTCCAGGCAGCCCCGCCTCCATCTCCTGGGACCCGCTCCGGAGCCAGGCCAAGGCCAGACTTCTGACTGGCCCCCGGAACCCTGCGTGAACTCGCCCACTACGACAGCGATTTGCCCGAGAACTCGGAAGCTGGACCCTTTAAAGAGTTGGCTTTGTGCTTGCCACCGTAACCTGCCGGTTGGATTCTGGAAACCCACTGTCTGAAGATCGCAGAAAGGAGTCGCTGATCACTCAGAATCGGATGCGTCTTGACCTAAATTACCCTTCCCTCTTGGGCTTCCCTGTGTTCTTTTCATACGTTCTCTCAGCCTTTCGGGCGTTTCTGTGCCAGGAAACCATCCCCTACCGCCCAGAGAGCTAGGTGAGCCCGGAATCTTGCTACCTTGTACTCCAACTGGTGCCTTCAACCTAGAGTCTGAAACTTACAACTCAATTCTGCACAAACCCAGGAAGTTCTGCCTTTTTTTCTTTTTTGGTGTCTTCAGTACGCCCCAAAATTTCCCCTCCTCCTGTGCCCTCTTCGCCCCCCTCCTTTGGGGGCCCCGTGACCCTGAATGTGGGGGGCACACTATATTCCACCACTTTGGAGACCCTGACTCGCTTCCCAGACTCCATGCTGGGGGCCATGTTTAAGGCTGGCACCCCTATGCCCCCCAACCTCAACTCCCAGGGAGGTGGCCAATACTTCATCGACCGAGATGGTAAGGCCTTTCGGCACATTCTCAATTTCCTTCGGCTGGGCCGCCTGGACCTGCCCCTTGGGTATGGGGAGACAGCACTTCTCAGGGCAGAGGCCGACTTCTACCAGATCCGGCCCCTCCTAGATGCTCTGCGGGAACTGGAGGCCTCTCAGGGGACCCATGCACCCACAGCTGCTCTGCTCCACGCAGATGTAGATGCCAGTCCCCGCCTGGTGCACTTCTCTTCTCGCCAGGGCCCACACCACTATGAGCTGAGCTCTGTCCAGGTGGACACTTTTCAAGCCAACCTCTTCTGCACCGACCCAGAATGTCTGGGTGCCATGAGGGCTCGATTTGGTGTGGTCAATGAGGAGAGAGCAGAGGGAGGCCCACATTTTCGTCTGGAGTGGGCACCCCACCCCACAGGACTCCCCGAAGTGGAGTACAGGAGACTGGGGCTGCAGCCATTGTGGACTGGGGGGCCAGGAGAGCGACGGGAAGTGGTAAGCACACCAGGCTTCCTGGAGGAGGTGCTGCGGGTGGCTCTGGAGCATGGCTTCCGTCTAGACTCCGTTTTCCCTGACCCTGAAGATCTGCTCAACTCCAGATCTCTGCGCTTCGTCCGGCACTGAGAACTGAGAACTGAGAACGCTGCCCTCAGTTTGAGGAATAGGAAGAAAGAAAGCGTCAGCAAAGGGGCTGAAGGCTCCCCTGAAGCCTCTTACTAGCTCTGCTATGGGAACTGTGAGAGTCAAGGGTCCCACTGCTGCACCTATTGGAGCCTAGATGTGGGCAGGCCTCCCCAAACCCAAGCCCGCTGTGGGCCGCAAGTGGTACAGGGAGTCTGGACTGGTGCTAATCCTGGGAGGTGTGGGAAAGCTTCTCCTGGCTTGTTCTTGTCTGAGGCTAGGGATCTCCAGTGTTTCCTTGGTGGGAGCTCAGTATTTAGGGGTCTGAAAAAATGGGGACCCTTCTCTGTCCAGGTTAGGCCTAGCAGAACCCTGTAGGGGTACTGAGGTCTGGGAGGAAGAGGGACTTTGGATTGCTCTAATGTGCTCTCCTGGTTTGTGACTTCTCCTAGACTTGAGTGGCCTGGCCTGGCCTGACCAATGTTAGGCCACAACATTCTGGAACATGGGAAGGGAGATTCTTTGCTGTACTCCAAGCCATTTACTGAAGGAGACAGAAAGGTTACACCTCATCCTAGGCTGGCATAAGGGAACTAGGAGAATACCCAAAACTGTGGGGTGAAGCATCCCTCTGGAGAGCCAAGTATTTTAAAGAATTCCATATTGATGGCGGGGCTGGCCATGGGGAGAAGGGTAGCATCTTCTTGAGTCCTAGCCTTACTTTCTTCATGTGTGTGTGTATGTGTGTGTATGTATATGTGTGCATTCAGTATGTGTCTGGCTGATGTGTGGGTCCCTGACATCCTGGCTCCTATCTGTGTTGCTGGTGATGGTAACTGTGTGCTGGTCTTTCTGTGGTCCCTCATGTCCAGGCCTGTTTGGGGTTGCCTAGCAACTGTTTGGGCACCAGGTGTGTATGTGGTTTGGGTGTGAGTAGACTAAGAATTAGTAGTTTAATCATAAGGGATGTGTGTGTGTTCACGCATGTGCATTCACATCACCACGTATGCAGGAGGGACCTGTTGGGGTTTGACTCACTAGGATCTTCCTGGTGAGAGGTAAAAGAAGTCACTGGGCTTAGCCTGGCCTTAGAGGCCTTTATAGAACTCTTGGTTGCTAAGGCAACCATAGGCTTGTTGCTAGGAGATAGCTGGAGAAGACCCAAGGCTGCCCAGGTCAGAGAGGAGATTAACTTGGAGAGTTTGGGAGAGTCGGGGAGAGTCGGGGAAGATATGGGAAAGGATAGGATTTCTGGGCCCCTGAGGGGATGGGATATTCATGAACAACTTTTTCACTGGGGGAGTCACTTATTATCACTTACAAGAAGAAAAATAAAGTTGCTTTTGGAACCACAAACTTGTAAAGGCTGCTGAGGGCCAGGTTGGGGGTGCCGGTCCCCAGGTCCATGGGCCCCAGCCAGGGATGGAGCAGTGGCACTGTTCTGGAATACTCTAGAACCTCCAACTGTTCTGGAACACTAGAACTTCCAGGCAAATGCTCAGGATCACAGAGCATTCTGAGGCCTTCTGAGCCTAGGTGGGTGGGGCCAGCTCCCCTCTAACACCCCACGAGAGGGCTCATGTGGATGCTGGTGCTAGGTGGGGTCTTCCTGGCAGCTGCCCAGGCCTGTGTCTTCTGTCACCTTCCATCCCGCGACTTGTCGGGCCGCCTGGCTCAGCTCTGCAGCCAAATGGAGGCCCAGTGGAAGGACTGTGAGGCCTCCTGGAACTTCTCAGCCTTTGCCTTAGGTAAGTCCAGACATCCAGGGATGGGCCCAGCAACAGTCACCCCCATGCCTCAAGCAGGGCAACGTGTGGCTTCCCAGCTATTTCTTTCAGTTGTCACCTCAGTCCACAGCCCTCGACACACTGGTCTCTCCCTCTGGGAGAGCTTCTTTGGACCGTAGGAAAGTTAGGAGAGACCCCAGAATCTTCCAGGCTGATGGAATCACAGGTCCTTGTCCATCTCCACAGATGAGCTGTCCATGAACAAAGTCACAGAGAAGACTCACAGAGTCCTGAGGGTCATGGGTGAGGTCAATGGGGGAGGCACAATCTAAAGATTTGGATGGGCACAAAGGAGAAAGATGAGAGGAGGGGGCTAGGGAGCCAGGGAAGAGTGGAGAGTAGGTGGAGACAGGAGGGCATGATGGTGGAAGTGCTGAGTGAAGGGGTGGAGGTCAGTTGGCATTGTTGAGGCCCTGGGGAAAATGACTGCTCTCTGCCTCCCTAGAGATCAAAAAGTCTCCCTCCTCACTCCCTTCATATTGGCAATGGCTTCAAAAGACCAAGCTTCCTGAGTACACCAGGGAAGGTACTGATATGGGGAAGGATAAAGGGGTGCCTAGGATCTGGGGCAAAGAGGTGTATGGCTGAGCGGCTCATCCTTGTCTTTCATTTCAGCCCTCTGTGCTCCTGCCTGCCGTGAGTAGAAAAGGAAAGGGGTTGCAAGGACAAGGGGCTTCGGGGTACCGGAGGAGAGCTTGGCAGTTAGCCTGAGGAAGTGGAATACTCTGGAAGGGTGGAGTTTGGGTTTCCCCTCCCCAGCTCTGGTCCTTCTGTCTCCTGCAGGGGGCAGCACTATCCTGTACAACTGCTCCACCTGCGAGGGCTTTGAGGTGCACTGTTGGCCCCAAAAGCGCTGTTTCCCAGGTCCTTACTCCCCACCTCTGCCTCACCTCACCCAGATCTCTGAGTTCTTAGGCTTCCCCAGTGTCGACAGGTTGGTCCCCAGGATCTTTCACTGCTTCCTGGGTTCCCTGCAGGAAGTCACGATCTTTGGGAAGCCAGAATTCTGCTCCTCTCTGTCTTTGGAGCTGTCCTGCTCTTGGGTATCCTGAGCCTCATGGTAGAGTGAGTTGGGGGATAAGGGCAGGAAAAAGCCTCACTTCCTCTGATCCACCAGTAATTTCCACCACCCACCATTCCTCTTTCAAAAAAACATTCCTCCTCCTTCCCTTCCCAGACCTCCCACTTCTTGTCTTCCTTCAGGTCCCACCTCCTCAAAGCAAAAAGTGACTTATGAAGATGCTGACAAACCGAGCCTCCAGCTGTAAGGAGAATGTACCCACAACTTCCACTTCCCTTGGGGGGTGGGAACCAGCCAGCCCTAGTTCCACCCCCAAAAGTTCAGTCTTCCAGACTCTGAAACCCAGATATCCCCATGATCCCAGTGTCAGAGGGCCTCCAGGGACCCAGGCACCCATAGCTGGAAAGCTCCTCCCCTCCAACCCTCAACCAATCAGATAAAACAGTCACCAATGCCAGGAAAATATCTACAGAAGGAAAGAATCCCCTCCACACAAACCACCACTCCCACGCCCCCCTCTGCCTGTTCCCGGAAAGCGGGGGCTGTCTGCCCCAGAAACTACTCTTGGCCTTCCTACGACTAATTGGGAATCCGGTAATAAGTGTTCTGGAGAACTTCTTCGAGTGAGACCACATCAGTCAGTCTGCTGGCATGCTCTCCCTCCATTTAACATTGTGAAGCCTTGGCCTCCCACAAAGGCTTCTTTCCTGCCAGGCCCAACTAAACATGCTGTGAAATGGCCTCCGCCCTTGCCTCGCCTCTGTCTGCAACTGATGTGGGAGGACAGGGAAGCTCAGTGGAATACAGTGATTCTCAATTGGGGATTTTGCACCCCAGGAGAAGGCAACATCTGAAGACATTTTTCATTGCTTTGATTAGTGGGGATGGGGTGGTATACTACTGGCATCTAGTGGGTAGAGACCAGGGATGCTACTCAACATCCTAAAACGCACAGAAGAGTCCTCCACAACACAGAATTATCTGTCCCAAAACATCAATAATATGAGGTTGTGAAACCCTGGTGTTTGTCCCCTAGCTATCAGGAGTTTTGGTTTGGGGGATGAGAGATGGGACATAAAAAGAGAGGCCTGTCACCAAACACGAGTCTCAGTCTAAGATCTTAGGCCTAGAAGGTATCCTGGCCCTCACCTAGTCTAGTGGTTTCAAACTGGTTACCTGGGGGCCCCAGGGCCAGGGTTCTCAACCAGCTGCACATTAGAGTCACCTGGGAAGCCTGAAAAACTACCCATCTCCAGAGATTCTGAATTTAGTAGTCTCATATTGGGTCTTGGTTAATCTAATTTACAGCCAGGGTTAGCATCATTGTTTTGGGGGTAACCATAAAGGTCCTGGAAAGGGGAGAGGAATGCCTACCTCTTCCAGGAGAGTACCTTCCATGTTATTTTACATGTTCTAGTCCAATCCTTTCATTTTACACACACACACACACACACACACAGAGAGAGAGAGAGAGAGAGAGAGAGAGAGAGAGAGAGAGAGAGAAACCCAGAGATCATACAGCAAGATCATACAACTTGCACAAGATCATACAATTGATTCATCCATTTATTTGACAAATACTTAGTAAGTGTCCACCAGGTGCTAAGCAGCATCACTGCCCAAAATGGGGTGAAAAGACACACCTTCTGACTGCCCAGGCACCACAGCACTCCTCTGGTCTGCAGTAGCTACCTTGTACCCTCCTATGCTGTACCTTCTTTTCAGGCTCAACATTTTAGAGTTGTCCTTGTTTTCACACCTAACATGCAGTGGGTCAACCAGTTCTGCCCATTCTTGAAGGACCTCTACCCTATGTGGCCCCCTCCTCCTGCCCTGTGGCCTCCAGCCCACTCTAGAACCTTTTCACTTGTCTCCCAGATGTGCCATCTGACTCTGCGCATTCCCTTTGAATCCACTGCACCCTCAGCAGCCACACTGGTTTTTTTAAACTCCACCTGCTTACAACCTCCTGTCCAGCATCAGATGATGGCTAAGAACTTGGGCTTTGGAGTTGGGCTTCAAATCCTGGCTTTGTCTCTTAGGTGGACCTTGGGCAAGTCATTTAACTTCTTGGTTTCTGTTTCTTCATATTTTAAATGCAGATCATGTATTTCATTCACTCTATAGCCTTATTTTTCCTGGTTAAATTTTAACATCTCTGAAGAATCCATCATAAATTGAAGACGTGTCATGGCATAATGGTACATATTATAATTGATGATATTTTAAATTCAATGAAATTCGGTGATACTCACCTTATGGGATCACTGTGAGGTCTAAATAAGTTCATATAAAATGTTTGGGACTGTGCCCAACATGTAATGAGCCCTTATTATTAGCTATTATAATCTCTTAGTTAAAACCTTCCTTAGCTCTTTCTTGCCTACAGAGACCTACATATCCCATAGACGTGTCCCTTTACCCTGACATTCAAGGCTCTTGATCAGCCACTCCCCTGTCTTATTTGGTCCTCAGACCAGACCTGTCCAAACACAGATCAAACTGTAATCTCCACCTGAATGCCTCACAGGCATCTCGGGCTCCACATGGCCAAAACCACCCCCACCTCTTCACCTCTTATGATCTTTCTCAAGCTAATAGCAATGCCAACATGCCATGGACATCCTTTTCCCCTCATGCCACTTGCCCAGTTCTCACCAGCAAGTGATCTACCTTTGTAATTATTCTTGGAACCCAGCCCCAATGTGTCCTTGGAGGTCTGTATCTCGGTTCTGCCCCCCACCCCCCAGCCAGACTGAATCACTTGTAGTTGCCCAAACACTGTTTTCTCATGTCTCCTTGCCTTTGCCCAGGCTTGTTCCTATACCTGGGATGCCCTTCTCCTTTGACTCAGACATCATCTCTTCTGGGAAGCCTCTTCTGAGCCCCTGAGGCAGGGTAGAGTGTCCTTTCTGTAGGCATTTCTCATGTGGCACCTATTATATCAGGTGGTAGTGTTTCTTTACACATTCTCCCTCTACATCATACACTACCCTATAAAGCCACTACTTAAGGTTTTGTGTCTTTATTTCTCCAGTGCCTGGCAGATGGTAAATGCCAGGAAGCATTCTGACAACTCCAGCCCCTTCTCTGAACCTTCAATGTTCCCTCCCTACAGAAGCTCTTCCTGAGCATATAGTGCAGGAGGCTGGTAGAGTTTGTGTTTCTTTTCTGTGCACATAAGGCCAACCCACCAGAGGTGGCTGCCAGGGCAGGGCTGCATTTTCTGAGCCTCTCACTAAACAGGGGAGGCTGCTGTGAGTGTGGCAGTTTTAAATAATGGCCCCCATAGTCTTTGATATGCCTCCTATTCAGGGGTAGGATTTATGTATCCTCCTCTTGAACCTGGGTTTCATGACTGACTGATCAGCTAAATGTGGCAAAACAGTTACTGGGCCACTTTCAGGTCTCAGGCTTTAAGAAACTGGTACCTTATGTCCTTTGCCTCTTGAGACTCTTGCTCTGGAACCCAGTCACCATGCTAAGAGGGTGTCCAGTTTACATGAAGAGTCCACATAAAGGGATTCAGCCAAAATCTAGCATCTATTGCCAGACATAAGAGTGATAATACAGCCCCTAGCTATCAAGTCACCCTCATACTTTCAGTTTTTCCAACTAAGGCCCTAGACATAGTGGAGCAGAGATAAACCATCCCCACAGTGTTCTGTTGGAATTCCAGATTCTCAAAGTCCAGAAGCATAATAAAATAGTTGAGGGTTTTTTTTGCCACTAGGTATCTCTCTATTCAACAACAGATAACTGGAACAATGGGACAGAAAAAGGAGCCTAGGACTTGGCACTAAAGACCCTTGACATGTGCAGTCTCTCCATAGGGCTGCGTGTCGTCATGACGTGATGGCTGGCTTCCCCTGAGTGAATTATCCAAGAGAGGAAGGCAGAAGCCACATTGTCTTTTATAACCTAGCTCAGAAGTCACACACCATCCTTTTCTTAATATCCCCTTGATTACACAGATCAGCGCTATTCGTTGTGGGAAGGCACTATACAATAGTGTGATTACCAGGAGGGAAGGTTCATTGGCAGCCATTTTGGAAACTGGCTACCATACATGTAGACACATGTGTTAATAGTTAGTTCTTCAATAACTCCATAAAGTAGATACTCCTAAAAGACTTATTTTGAAAATAAAGAAACAGATACAAAAATATGAAATAATTTGCCTAGATTCACCGGATGGTAAGTGGTAAAGCTGGGATTCAGGCTCTAGAGGTGAGGTCCAAGCTAGTGTACTGAAAGGCCTTCTGCTCTGTTGTAAGCCTGAAGGAATATGGTAGATATAAAAGTGCTTACACTTGGGAAAGCAAACCAACAGATACATACAAGGGGGTGGGCTGGTGACTCTGAAAACTAGTGAGGAAAATGCAAATTGGGAAAGGATGGGACCTCAGGGTCCTGGGAGATGGAGATGGGGTAATGGAACAGGAGGGTCTTACCCAAGGGTCTGGACAGAACCAACCACGTAGGATCAGGAAGTACCAAATGTGAAGGGAGGAAGGGATGGGTTCATAAGGAGAATGCTTATGGATTTGGTTTGGAAACCCCCATCCCCATTGCTTCCAGCAAAGGAGCTCTTGATGTCAAGAATCTCCTTTGCTTCACCCACCCAGATTACTCTGTCTCATCTATTTGTTAGACAAAGCTTACTGAGCACTTATCATATAAGCCAGACACTAGGTTGGGGATGGGGGGACACGGCAATGCCCAGGCAAGATGAAGCCCTTTTCTACCTGGAGCTTGGAGTCTAGCATGGGAGACAGACAAGTTACTGGTGAATTCTACCAGAGAAATGAGTTCAATGATGGGAAAGCAGAAGGATCTTAGGGTGCAGGGGAAGAGACCAGACCAATTAGAGATAGGCTTCTTGAACTTAGCAAGGCTAAATTGGAATAAGGGTGGGAAGACTCTTCCAAGCAGAGGGAACAGACACAAAAGCTCAGAAGAAAGATCTAGAATACTGATGTGTTTTTCCCTGTTGAGATGTTGACATGGGTGAGGTAGAAGGGA